CAGATTTCCACATTTTAAAGCCGCTCGGAATAGCTGTGCTCTGGGGGCTCAGGCTACCCAAGGGATACACTTTTGGTTCTTTTGTCTTATTTTATTTCTGATACTTAGGGGCTGCTTTTTAAAAGTTAATTTGTTTAATAAATCTGTAAAATATTTGCATGGTTCCAAAGTCAAATCTATGAAGCAAGGCAGGTCCTTCCCCTCTCCATCCCCGTAGGTATCCTTCAAAATACTTCAGACTCAGTCTCCCAATGTTTACTGTTAAAATAGAAGCAGATTAGATAGATAGGTAGATAGATAGATAGATAGATAGATGATAGATAATAGGTAGGTAGACAGAGGGACAGAGATAGCTGGCTGCCTTCCCCGCTCCCCCCTGTCTTGAATAAACTGTGGTGTATATTTGTGCTTCCCCCCACCTTGCTCTGTTCACAGGGGACTCCGATCACTGAGACAGCATCCTCCTTTTTCATGGCTGCATAGTATTCCTCCATGTCCCTGCATGATGCTTATACACCCAATGCCCCAGTAATGGGGATTTAGGTTTCTTTTTGCTTTTACAAATTGTACAGTATTTTAATAAAAAGGGGGCTCGTTATGTAAATGCCTGTAGCTTGCTATTTCACTGCATGTAATTCGATATTATTATATTTGTCTACTTCGGTCATAAAACACACCAGATGGGATTAATGGCAGATCGGACGTTGTCAGAGCATCACGGAAAGCCCTTGAGAGCAGCCCAGACTGAGAGAAGAAAGGCACTCGGAGCTGACATGTGCACAGGGCACAGGACACGCAGACTCTGTTCTGAGGACACGTTACCCTATTCCCACGTTAAACCCCACCATTCTGTGAAGCAGGGGCCCTAGTTTCACCTTCTGTATTCTCCAGTGGGGGAAACGGAGGCAAGAGAACCAGGTGGCCTGCAGGGCTGGAACGCCTCGGGCTGCCCTGGCTGCGGCACCTTGCCGTCTGCCTCTGAGGCCCGGGCCCAGAGATCCAGGAGGGCAGGGCCATCTGTGGCAAGGGCCGTGCCTGGCACAGAGTGGGTGCACCACAAAATTTGTCGAGTGACTCTGTGGCTGGCTGGCTCACTTGTGGGACCGTCCTGGTCCCCCAGTGGCCTCAGCTGCAGTTCCCCGGCTCGGCCCACAGATGGCAGGTGGCCACCTCGGGGAACCACTCCCCTGAGAACCTGGCAAAGCCACCAGGGTGTGTGTGAGAAGTACCCGCGGAGAATTCCTTTCTAAATAGGCATCTTGGGAAGAGAAGTCTTGGCTGGCAATGTCAGATCTGGGGCAGCGATAGGAGGGACCCCGCTGGCAGAACAACGGGCAGGCAGGGCTCCCAGCCCTCGTAGTGGACACGATGGCCCTGGGGCGGGGTGGGGGAGGGGGCACTCTGGGCTCAGGTGGAGGTGGGAAGAGGAAGCAGTAAAAGCTGAGCCCTCCCCCACACCCCCCGCTGAGCTGAGCCGGGGGCCAGCCTGACCTTCACAGGCCTTATTTGAAGATCATTTTAATGCAGCCGCTTCGGCTGCAAAAAGGGGAAACCTCACTTCCCCACTTGCTGCTGTCCAGACAAGGGGAGACTCCCGTCCTGGACAAGCATGCACTGGACCCTGAACAGCAGCATCAGCCTTCATTGTAGCGGCTTAGCAATGGCTTTAAAAACAAGAAAGAAATATAAACCACAAACAGCCTTCCAAAAGGCGAGTGCGCCGTTTTGCCAATAGAATGGCTGGCTAGCTTTCGAAAATAGGGTTAAGGTGAAATCAGGGTTCTCCGGAGAAACAGAACCAACAGGGATGTGTGTGTGTGTGTGTGTGTGTGTGTGTGTGTATCATAAGGAATTGACTCCGTGTCATTTTGGAGGCGGACAAGTCCCAAGGTCTGCAGGGTGCGCCTGCACCCCGGAGCCCCAGGAGAGCCCATGTTCCAGTTCCGAGGTCATCGGGCAGGACATAAAGTTACCCACACGGACCCCCCACCTGAGCTCATGGATCAGCTACCATCAGCAGGCCCCGAGTGGGCACGGAAAACCCGTGTTTCCTGGTTTGGGATGAAGAAGCATTCTTGTCTCTGGGATGGAGGCCGGTCTGTCCGTCTCCCTGGGCAGCCATCCATAGCCAAGTATTCACTAACTACGTGGCTTAAAACAATTTTAAAAAATGCACAATATTCTCCCACAATTCAGAGGCATCTCTGAAAAGGGAGGTTTGTGTTAAAGGAAATACTCTCTTGAGGAAAGCTAGAAGACGGAGTGGGTGCCCCCCACCCCCATCCTCTCTCTCCCAGCCCCAGGGGTGGCTCTGGGAACCCTCGCCAGCAGCCAGCGACTGTGCACATACGGTGCCCTGTTCTCTCCAGCCACTCCTTCGGAATTAGTGAGCGCAGGACCGCAGCCCTGAACAAGCTATGCTCTTTGAGCACATAGCATTCAAATCATGCAGGAATTTCTCAAAAGCGAGTTGCAGCAGGAGTTGTCCTTCGAGGAGAGCAAGGCTTCCTCGCAGGGGAAGGACCTGCCCGGCTGACGGGGGCAGGGCTCGGAGGTGCGGCGGCAGGGGCGGGGCGGGGCGGGGCGCTGGCTGGGCGCTGAGGCCGGAGGCGGGAGGGGGAAGGGAGGCGGGGGTCCGAGGAGAGGATGGGGTGGGCGGCGCGGAAGTTGGTCTCCACTGCCCCTTCACCGTGGGCTGGTCAAGCGGGAGGACCTGGGGGCCGCTGGCTACACTCCGGATCGGGGCCTTGCTCGGTCCCAGACTGGCTGAGCCGTTCGCCGGGGAGCAGTGTGTTGGCCACGCACTGCTCCCGGGACCCCGAGGAGATGGGTTTACGCTTCACGCAGCAGAGCGCCCCCCAGAGGCGACAGACACACGGCACTGTTACCACCCCCAGCGCGCGCCAGGCGCGCTGTCTCCTTTGAGCCCCTCGGCCATCCCAAGAAGGAACCCTATTACCCCACTGCAAGGACCAGCCAACTCGCCCACGGGCCGGGTGCCGGGGTCCCACCCAGGAGGGTCCCCGTTCCAGCCTTGTCCTCAGCCTGCAGGGTCGGTCCGGCCCCCACCGCGGGGCGCAGAGGCAGCTGTGGCCCTCGCCCGGGTCGCAGGGCCAGCGCGCGCAGATAGGTGGCTGCGTGGGGAAAGGGACATCCGCTCGCGGCCGGGCACACCCGGGGACTTGGACGGCAGAGGCGCCTATTGAGACGCGCTGTGCCCGGAGGACGCGGACTTAAGAATTCTCAGGGAAAACGTCCGCAGAAGCCCGGTGGCTGGCACTTCCCGGCCCTCCCCTCCCCACCAGCGCTCCTCGCCGGGTAGCTGTCTCCGGTCAGAGCACCTTGCCCTCGGGCCTCCATCTCCCCGGAATCGCCTGGCCCGGAGCCCGGTGCGCCGGGTTTGTCTTGGCCACCTGGCACCGCCCACCCTGGCACCTCTCGGACGTGTGGCATTCATCCTGGCGACGGCCACCTCCCACGCCAGAGATGCAACACTCTCACCATCATTCACCTGATATTTTTCTTTCACTGGGGCAATTTTTTTTTAACCTAAAATATATTAAAAGTGAAACTATGCTTTGAAGAAAGGTTTTCATTCATATAAATTTTTGACACTGTAGTGAACTCCATCGCTTCGGAGATTGTGAATACTTACACAACTGTGGATAAGATTTCTTTATTAATAAAGTTTCTACAGCTCTTCAAGATGGAAAATTAAATTTAATATTCAGTTTGTCTTATTTAGCATTCTGATAAGATTTATTATATTTTAAAGCTAATGTTAAAAGCTTTAAATTTTAATTCGTATATGCTCCATCTCAAACTGTTTTGGGGATTTTTTTTAAAGGTTACAAATAATAAAACATCTTCAGTTAAAAAATGACAGCTCTTTATGTTTTGTGCCTTTTCATGATTTATTTAAAGCATTTCAACTAAATGAGTTGCTGCGTTCATTTAAAATCTTCTTGCCTAGTGTGCATTTATTATGTTAAATATTTGCCCAGCAAAATAAGACTAAATTCTGTCTTCTCTTTTGGCACTTTAGTCTCATAACTTAATGGAATACCAAGTGTCTTGTATCCATACCTAAACTCTCTTTGGGGTGCCACAGATGGCCACGGGGTAACCACGCAGGTTTATCCCCTGGAATTATAAAATAAACAATGCTAAAATCATGATTAAAATATTGCCCCTGGAAGTTCCTTTTATACTCTGACATGTCCCCTTACCTGCCAGTGACCAAGGACCACTAAGATAAATAACAGTGACCTACAATCACAGAGGGTTCAGATAGAACTCTGCTGCCTTCACAATCCCTGAAAAGGGACTTTGTTTTTCTTTGACAGGTTAAAACACTGGCCTTCAGGGGGCGCTGAGTGGCGTGTGTGAGGAGCAGCCAGGTCAGGGGCAGGGGCAGGAGCAGGGCCAGTCCCGCCCAGCCCTGGCAGGTGATCTTTGTCCCCTCTCGGCTTGCAGCTGGCAGCTGGCAGCTGGCTGTTGAGGCCCCTGTGGAATCTGGAGCCCGGTGCAGAGCCTACCACGGACAACCCATAAACATTGGTCAAGTGAAGCGAGCACAGGGTTAAATGCACGAAGTCAGCATGCTCCTTTAGTAGACGGGTGTGTGTTCTCACTCCCCTACGCTCTCACTGCACGCGGGTGAGACCGGAGTCTGCAGCCGGTCTGGAGAAAGATGCCTTGAGCTGAGAGCCCAGGAAACAGCACAAATGACTCATTTTCTAGTCAACTCATTTTTTTCCCACCCAACTAATGACAATGCCTACTTTCAAGTTATCTTTATTCAAAATCCCAATTATTTTTTTTAAAAATTATTTATTTATTTTTAGAGAGGGAAGGGAGGGAGAAAGAGAGAGAGACATGAATATGCAGTTGCTGGGGGCTGTGGCCTGCAACCCTGGCATGTACCCTGACTGGGAATTGAACCTGCGATACTTTGGTTCGCAGCCTGTGCTCAATCCACTGAGCTACACCAGCCAGGGCAAAATCCGAATTATTTTTAAAATATTGGTTCACACATTAAGTTATGTTTGCTACCAGCAAGCTCGAGATAACCATGATGCTCTACAGTCTCAAGGAGATCAGTTTTGATCTCAGGATGATGTAGAAGAGAATGTGCCAGCCTGGTCTTCCCGAGAGGCCTGGGGACCCGCCTTGTTTGGTTCCCACCAAAAAGTACTCTCCGAAGAGTACCCACCAAAGAGTACTCTCCATAAAGAGTACTCGTGGGGGAGGGGAGGCAGTGGGCTGTTTACAAAGCGGAGAGGAGCCCAGTTATTTGCTGGAGCATAAAAAGATCATATGCCCACACAGGCTAGGTAGGACCGGCCTCTCCTTTCTGGGTGACTAACACAAAAATACAGTCGACGTCTTGGAAGTGCTTCCTCTCCTGTCTCCCCGTCCTGCTCTCATGATTCATCTCTGTTGGCCAAGAGGCCGTCTTTGCTCACCGTGCACGGGGACAGAAGTGGGTGCTTTTTGGGTGTGAAAGTTTCCAACCCTGCTTCCCGACCTCTGACCCAGATATCTTCCCAAGAGTGCTGTGAATTCAGGCCGGGAATATTTTCCCCCAAAGGCGGAAAAAACATCTTTCCTTTTCAAGGGATCTGTTCTACATATTAAAAAGACACTTTTGTTTTTCCCCCAAAGAAAGGGTGGGGAACTCCTACTGTCCTTGGAGCTTTAGATTTGCTGTTGGGGTGATTAAAAAAAAAAGTTACTTCCAAAGTGCAAACTTGGGTGTGGGAAAATAAAAAAAGACTCGGATCTCCAGGAATTTCCGCCGAGTGGAAAAAGCCAGTGCCCAAAGGTGCCACGCTACAGGACGCCCGTGTGCAAATACAACCCACTTGGAAATATAACAATTTTAGAAGCAGAGGGATGGCCAGGACTTGGGGGTTCGGTTGTAAAGGGATCACAGGGGGGTCCTTGCGCGATGGAATGTTCTGCAGTCAGACCCCAACCTCTGCAGGCGACAGCGTTGTATAGCAGAGGACCAGCAGATCTGGGGGAATCTGAATAAGAGCCTAGTTGTGATACACACTATCCTAGCTGTAATATACTTTTTTTCCTACAACTGCATGGGACTCTACAATGATCTAAACATACACGCTCCCCCCACGACTGCCGCTGCGCGCTCCGCCGGGTCCTTTTCACGTCCTGAGCAACCCCGGGGAGAACGCAGTGACCCCGCGCGTCCCTCGGTGGGTGTGCAGGGACCCGCTCCCGGGGCGGGGCCGGCGGAGGGCGGGGCGCGTGGAGGAAGTGACGTCTCGGGCGGGGCGCGCACCTGGGCACCTGGGCTGTCGCTGAGGCTCCGAGCGGCTCGGGCTGGCGGCGAGAGAGGAGCGATGGAGGGCGACAGCGGGGTCCCGTGGGCCCTGGGGCTGCTGCGCACCTTCGACGCGAAGGAGTTCGCGGGCTGGGAGAAAGTCGGCTCCGGCGGGTTCGGGCAGGTGTACAAGGTGCGCCATGTCCACTGGAAGACGTGGCTCGCCATCAAGTTGTCCTCGTCGAGAACTCTGCACGTCGACGACGGGTAAGCGGCCCAGACAGGGGCGCTACGGTGCGGGCGACCGGGCCGGACTGGGGTCGGGGTGCTTGGGTTCTGGGGGGTCCCCTTCTCTCCACCTGCGTTGCCTGTGAAGCAGCCCCGAAGGGAAAACCAAGCGCCGGTCGAGGCCGTGAAGCCCCTAGCAGTGTCCGCTCGGCTTGCCCGGCCGAGGCGGGGAGCTTTGGGGAGCTCCGGGTCTAATTGCGCACGCCGGGTCTGTGAGCTGCGGCGCCTAGCTGCGACCTCGGCAGGCCGCGCTTGCCCGAGACCTTAAAGTGCCCAGTGGTGCCACCCGGCTTCCCGTGAAGCTCCGGATTTTTAGGGTCCTGAGCTCCCTGGCGTCGTCGACCCCCCCGCCTCTCGGAGGCGCGTCCGGTCCTCCCGGGACTCACCTTGGTACTGCGGTCTGCGCCGGGCTTAGCGAAATTGCCGTGTGGGGATCTGGGCTTTGTGAGTTAGTGAGACTCCGTTCGACTCACGTAGTAATTTACGCTGGAGCACAAATTGGTGTAAGACGGTAATTATTTCGGTCGGAAGCACTGGTTTGGCGGGGCCAGGCTTCCTCGGCGCCCGGGCTCTTGGCGCTTTGGTGCTTGGGCCTGGCGGTGCGCCGCCCAGTTCCACTGGGTGGGTCCGTTGTGGTCTGCAGAATTTGGGGCATGGGGATGGGGGGGGGGAGGGGGGAGGGCCCGGAGAAGCAGCCCTGTGGTTTGTTTTTCGCCCTCTGCGTTCACGTTCAGGTCATTTATATGCACGCTCCAATGGAGCGCATTCAAACAATGAGCTATCCCTGGATGAAGTTCGCATTCTGTGTGGGAGTCGTGTTTCTATTCTGCCTGGAGGTCCCCCCTAGACACACACACCCCGGACCCAGGCAGACTCAGAAAAGCAGCTGCGGTTACCACCCCCCCCCCCCGCCGCCCCACACCGATCTAGCCCTTGCCGGCTCAGAGACCTGCCCTGCGCTTATCGAGTGGTGGGGCCTCTTTGCATCTTAGGAGGGTGGTGACGTTGGAGGCGACAGTGTGCCCCCACGACGTAAGGGACGTACATGTGTGTGCTGCCACGGCGTGTCGTCGGGAATAATACGCCCGGGGAGGAGGGCCCGGGGCGCCCGCGGACTTGGTGTTTTCAGGCTGGCCCGGCGGAGGGTGCAGGAGAGGGGTGGGAGACTGGTGTCCGTCCTTCTGCCGTCAGCCTCAAACCCAGTGGTGTTTCCTGGAAACCTCGGGGGAGCTGTGACAAGTGTCGCGAAAACCTCTGACGGGAGGGCGAGGTGCTGGGGCAGCGGCACCTGCCCTTTCCCCTCACTGCACCCGGGTTCCTGGAAGCTGCTCGGGCCGGGAGGGGCGCTGTGTGGTTATTTTGATGAAATGCAACCCTCGCTGAATACCAGCCAGGGAGTGGCTAGATCCGGAAAGGCACGACCCTCTCTCCCTGGGGGTGTTTTTATGCTGTTGGGGATGTTCGTCGGATGGGGGGTCTTTGGGTCCAAGTGAGATGTATTCACCAGCAAAGGTTTTACCACCAGCTTCTTACACGGGAGGAGCCAAGTAAACAAAGCCGCCGTCCCCTTGGCTGATGAGTCAGCCTGCATCCTAGAATCTGTTATTTCCAGCAACTGTGCCCTCGTTTCTTGGGTGGCCCAACTGGGGGTAGGGTTTCTCCACTGGAGGCGGGTTGTTTAGGACCTTGCAGGGCCCGGCTGAAAAGTGTTTTTTGTCCTCTAACTGGAAGCCTTTCCTGCCCTGCCCAAACCAGGGCAGGTGGTGGCACGTACGGGGCGGCCGGGTCGACGTCCGCTTCGCCCAATAGGAGGCCACTCACCCGCGTGCTCTGCCGGCTGCGGCGAGCGAGCAGGCTGGGGTTCTGCCCTTTCTGCAAAGGCTGAGTTCTCCGCTTGGGAAGGCGGTCAGAACACCTGCTCTGGGCCCAGAAAAACGCCCCTGACTGAAGTATTATTCCCTGGGGTCAGCTTAAGCTTCTTGTTCGGGTCTGTGTCGCTGCACCGCAGAGCAGGGGCAGCCAGCCGCAGTGCTGTTCTGCAGGGTTGGTTGCAGCGAGACCCTGAAGACGGTCTGGTCGCCTGTCCTGCCAGGTATTGGCAGGTCGGCCTCGTTGCCCTTTTGGTGAGCTGCCTTCCATGCCTACTCCACTCCTGGCAGGCCGTTCCCTGGAGTGGGGAGTGGGGTTTCCCGGAGTTGCTGGGTGCAGCCCCCAGCCCTGCACCCCTCCAGGCTGAGTCTGGACTCCCCCTGTTTGAAGGTTGCTGGGTGGCAGCCCCTCGGGGAGCTTCCAGGTGTGATCCAAAACTGGCCCCGGTGCTTACTGGGAGGGCAGGGAGAGACTGAAGGATAAGAAGGCAGACCACTCCAGATGGGGAGGGGGCAGGCGCCACAAGCACGGGAGCTGATAGCCTGTCTGGGGTGATCTCCAGACCTCTGCGCCCGCCCACCAACTCTCAAAAGTTCAATGTGGAGGCCCTTCCCGGCGGCAAGCACCGGCCCTGACCCTCGCCCTTCTGCTGCCCTTCCCCAGCACGGGGCCTCTGATTTCCCAGGGTGATTGGAGTCCTTTTTGCCCCTTCCACTTGTTACGTTGGGACCCACCGCAGGTACGGGTGTGGGCCGGGCTGATTGTCATTGGCTGCTCCTACCTCTGGGCAGGTGGGCTGGAGTCTCTTGGTGCCCCACCGATGCCCTGTCGCCAGCCTTCCTGCCACCCCTTAGCCACAGCAGGGCCTCATCCCCAGCAGCACCCCGGGCTCTGAGGGGTCCTGAGAGCTGCAGGCTGCCCCAGGCCTCGTGGGCCTGTGCTTCTTTCCCAGAAGGTGGGGTGGGGGACTGTGCAGCCTCAGACACGCACCCCCTCCCCCCCGCCAGGGCCCTGGAGCACAGATCCACGGATCCTCCACTAGGGGGTCCTGGGGCCTGGGTGGAGTCTAGCAATGGGGGTGTTGCCATGAGGCCAGGACGGGTGGCTCCAGGGGCCCCCTCCTCCAGCCCCAGCCCTCGGGCTAAGAGGAAGCCCTGAGTAACTGCGCGCCTGGCTGGGCACAGGCCCAGCAGCTCTGCGCCATCGGCGCCGGCTCGCTGGGACGAGCCTGAGCAGCCCTGGGCCCTGTAAGTACAGGGCTGACAGCCCGACAAGTCCATTTCTTGTCAGTTTTAAAAATAGCCGTGTGGGAACCCTGGCTGGCTCCCTGGGAACGGAGCTGGGTTGGCACGGGGTGAGAAAGCCGGCCGTGTGGAGAGCGCCAGCTACGGGAGGGAGGATGACACCATTTCCCCCAAACTCGGCAGCAGCGGCGGCGGCGGCGGCGAGAGGGTTGTGTTCCTGGAGCACCTTCCCCCGCCCTGTCCCGGCCCCTCTCTGCTGGCACGGGACCCCTCCCTGGGCTGCCCCGTCCCCTTTTCCCAGAGGACATGCTTCCAGCAGGGGAGGGAAGCCATGGGAAGGCCTTTGGTGTTTGGCATCCCTGGCAGCCCGGCAGGGTCCCCAGCCGGTGCCTTGGACACGGTCCGCCTGCTGTGTGTGCCTTTCTCCCCCTCCCCCTCGCCCCTCCCTCAAAGAGAAAACTAAATGAAACTGTTGTAAGTGCCCTTGAGAAAGGATCGTGGACACATTGAAGCCCCCTCTGGTCCTCTTAATTCCCAGAGATTTTTCTCTCCAAGTCCAGGGCAGGGTCCTGGGGGTGGGGGCCCTCGCTCCACGGCTGGTGGGAAACGGGAGTTGCGGTCCTTCCCCAGACAGCCAGCCCGGGAGGAGGTGTTTGGAGATGATTTCAGAAGAGGCACAGGCCGCCCGCCCGTCCTCCTGCATTTGGGGGGGGGCATCTTCGTGAGGGTCGGTCGGTCGTGGTGGGTGTGGGCCGCGCGGAACCTCACTCCCAACAGCGAAGATGGGGATTGGGTGGCCGTGTGACCGGGAGGAAGGCTTGGCCCTGGAAGACCCCGCGCACCCCCGCCCCGGGCCCCACCCAGCACCAGGGCTCTGAGACTGCTTTGAAACATCTCCCCAGGCCCAAACATAATAATAGAAATAATAACAATAATCATAATAGTGATCACAGTAGTAGACCCACGGTTCTTCTTGTGCCATCCACGGGAACCAGGAACACTGCTTGCTGTGAGGGAAAGTGTTTAAAGCATAATTGCCCTTGACCGATAACAATTGGTGGTTTCTTCCTGTGAGAGGGACACTTTCCCGTCCTTTGCAGCGGCTGCCGGAGAGGGCCCATCACGGGCTTATTGAATTGCAAATGCTGCTGAGAAATCCGATCCAGGAAGGGCTGTGGCTCCCCGAAGTTGGTGGTGGTCCCTGGGGCCCCGAGGGTGGGGGGGAGGGTGGGGGGAGGGTGGGTCCCAGCGGGGTACCCCAGGAGGCACTGAAGAAAGACCTGGAGCAAGGGGGGTGTTTGGATTTGGGTTTGGTAGTTACTGAGATATAAACAGGATGAGCTTTTGTGTTTGTGTGTAGACTCTCTAGGGTCACCAGGGTCACCCTCTCTAGACCACTCACCTGTGCTACACGGCTGGCCTTCGAGTCCCCTTGAGCCTCCGGCTGGGCGGTCCCAGGACCCTCTTCCTCACTCCAGGGGTGTGTGGTCACAGCAGACCCCTCCACAGGAAGGCGTTTCTTACTGAGCTGTCACGAGAGAAGGTGGTTCGTCCCTGGAAACAATGACTTATTTTCCAGGAGAGCTGGTTGCCCTGGGCGAAGTGTCCTGTGTCATTTGTGCGAAGCCTGCCTGGCGTTGGTCCCAAAGAGGGAGTGGGGGCTCTCAGAACGTTCGGGCTACGGGCAGCGTTCAGGGGGCCCGCCAGCCAGTGGGGCGGGGGGGGGCACTTTTAGTTTGTGTTTTGAAGTCAGGTACATGGTTTGGCAGAAGGGCTGGGGGCGGGGGCAAGAGCAGCGCACCTGGCTGAACAGCAGCTGGGACTGGAGGAGTGACATGCTGATGAGGAGCTCAGCAATCAGAAGTCACCTGAGTTTTCTGTGTGAAGCCCTTGGGCAAAGGGAAGAAAACACTGTATTTGCAGAGTGGCTGAGAGCTTTCGCTTCCTGAGACGTTCAGCCAGCGGTGATGGACTGTGCTCTCGACGAGTTTGTTATCAATCAGGTTTGGTGCAGAGGACGCATTTAAACATGTAGTTAACAATCCACATCACGGCTTCCTTTTTTCATAAGATTTGGAACGTAAACCGCTGTGCACAGCAGGGGCAGTGGCCCTGAGCAGCTGTGACAACTGACGAACCGGCTACTTGCACTGGGATCTCAGGTGCAAGTTGTAAAGGGAAGTGTCTGTATTCTGGTTGGCTAACAAAGGCGTATTTGTAGCCCTTTCATGCAATGGATTGCAAATTGTTGTATCTCAAAAAAACAAAACAAAACAACGATACAGGAGAAAATGGCCTTCCTGGATAGAAGTACAGAATAGCAACGTTTCTGGATGTCACCAATAAAGAATTCAGTTCTTTGTGAAACAAAGTTTCCTTCACGGCCCTCCTCGTGGCAGGCCCGCAAACGCCAGCACTGTCAGGCCCCGAAAGCTTGCACCCGGCCGGGCGGGGGGTGGGGGTGTCTGCTCCTGCAGCAGGACACTCGCCAAGCCCGGGGCGCAGGGCCCCAGGAAGAGCACTCTTGGTGGGTGGGAGCAGGCAGGTCCCAGGACGGGCCTTCACAGCACAGGAAATGGAGGAGCGGCGGGTGCTGAGCCCCACCGCACAGCCGGGGTGCTGTGAGGAGTGGCAGGGCCGCTAGTCACGTGGAGAACAGCCCAGGTCTCTGGGGACAGGAGAAGGGAGCCGGCCTGGGGTGACGGCCTGGGGTGACGGGGGTGTTGGGGTGTCGTTTTCTCTCCTTCTTAAGTGGCAGGCTTCGGTTTGAAGGATGCTGGGCCTTCGCACCAGTCCTTTCCTCTCTCAGACGGCTGCCGCTCAGCACGGGGTTGGGGGTCGGGGGTCGGGGGTCAGGGTCTGTGTCATCCCACAGCCTGACTCGGTGCTGAGGGTGGGGCTGGCCAGGCCAGGCCGGGAACCTGTGGAGGCCCTGCTGCATGAAGTTGGGGGGCACAGCCCTCGGCCCTGCCCAGGGACCCTGCAGCCGGCAGGGCACTCTTGTGGGCGTCTTGCTTCCCACCAATCGGCTGCGTGACCGGAGCGTTAAGCGAGCAAGTGCAGCCTGAACTCTGTTTTGTTTTGTGGGGATGCCCTGATTCACTCCTGGTTCGTGGTGGGTTCACTCGTTTCTAAGGCCAGCGGGACTCTTTGCTCCTGAGACTGTGAAAACCCCGACTTTTGACCGCTCCACCCCAGCCTTCCCCTTTCTGCTGCTGCTTCCAGAAGTGGGGGACCTCCAGGGGATCAGGGTGGTCCTTTCTGTCTCCTCCACAGGCAGTCGCCCCCAGCCTGGACTCCTGGGAGGGTCTCGCTGCCCTTTCCTGCTAGCTGGTGGCCCCAGTATTAAATCTTTTGTAGGTTCCTGGACCTGCCCTGCACAGGACCCAGATTTTCAACCCCACGTCCTGTGTTGCCGTGATTTTCCATCTTCTCCCCTAGAAGATACACCTGATAAAGGTGTAGAGGGGGTCTCTTTATCACCACTTCTAATACATAGAGGGTACTCTGTTATGTAGTTAATTAAATACGGATCAAAATGCAAGTGCATGCTGGGCGTGCCTGAGTGGGCGACTCCAGACTAAGCGGTTTACGTTAAATTTGGCTGCAAATGCGCAGCTTCAGTCTATACCGGAGGTTCTCAGGCCCGGCACTGTTGGCACCTGTGGCCTGGGGACTGTGCTGTGCCTTGTAGGACACTGCGCAGCATCTCCGGCCGCCACCTTCTGCCTGCCGGTAGCAGCCCTCTTCGTGCCAACCAGATGCCTCCAGATGGTGCCCGGTGTCCCCCGGGGGCAAAGTCGCCTCTGGGTGAGGATCTGCGGGTGTGTCCACAGGGCTCCTTCCCTGACGCTCACCGGGGGCCTGACGGGGAGCGCTGAGAGCTGAGTGCAGGCTGGGCTGGGGCGCTGCGGCCTTGGGTAAACAGTGTAACCCCAGCCCCCCTTCTCCGGCCGCCTCCTCCCTGGGCATTGTTGTCATAACTGTCAGGGAACCCTGGGAGCACACCGCCATCTCCAAGAGGCGAGAGGTCAGTAAGAACCGAACTCGTTTTGGTGGTGCAGTGTTGGGTTCTGCAGCACGGTTCTAGAGGGGGCTGGGGAGTGGGGCGGGCGCAGGTGGGCGGGCAGGTGCTTCCGAGCTCCTGGGGACCCCGTGGTGGGAACTAGCCTGTCATGTGGGGTATGGGCAGGCTGTGTGCACTGGAATCTGAATCTGGGCCGGTGGGGGGGGGCTGAGGCTGCCCCAGCCTGCTGCCTGCCTGTCCCTCAGCAGGCGCCGCACTGCCCAGTCCCCAGCTCCCTGTGGCATGTCTGGGCTTGCGGTTCTGAGCTTTTCCTTTCGGAGCTGATGGGAAAGCAGCGTCCTCCCCAGCACCCACCCAGAAGGGCCCGGGAACCTGCATGTCAGCCCGCCCACTGGGTGCTTTGCACCGTGTCCTGGGAACCGCCAACATGGACCGCATGCGGTCAAGCTCCTCCCTCGCAGGGTTTGAGGCCTTGTCCCCGAGTGCTGCCTGAGACTTTGACCTGCAGTGCTAACAGCGACCAAGGCCCTGGGATCCGGTCATCAAGTCCACAGGCCGCCTCAGGAAGTGGTCTGAGACCGGGGGTTGCACACTTTCTTGAGGGGCCAGAGAGCAAAAATGTCAGGCCATGGAGGCCGGTGGGGGGCAGGGGGGGGGCGGGTCTGTTACAACCCCTCATCTCTGCCTTGAGTGTGCGTGCAGACAAGGACAGGCGAGACTGTCTTGCAGCCCCAGTTTCCTTACAAAAGGCGGGCTGTGGACAGCAACCTGGCAGGTTCTCAGGCGGTTCAACATAGCAGGACGATCACACGACCCAGCGATTCTCCTAGGTGTATGTCCAGAGTGAAAGCGGGCGTGTGAACAGGTCCTTGTGCACCGCACATCCCCGGCGGCACTAGTCACTGTAGCCAGGAGGTGGGGACAACCCTCATCCATCCATCGGGGGAGAGGGGGCAGGTAAACTCAGTGTGGGGGTGTCCGCGCGGTGGAGTACTATGCAGCCAAGAACAGGGTGCCATTTCGGTACGGGCCTCCATTGAAATCATATGATCAGTGAAGCAGACCAGTTCCTAAAAAATAAATGCTATGGAGACGCAGTTGGGGGCGGGATGCTGTTGATTAGGTGCAGAGTTTCTCTTGGGGATAACGGAAATCTTGTGTGTGGTAGGCGGTGACCGTTGGACCACGCCGTCACTAGTTGTGTTACCTTTGAGTTGTAGGCACACGCGTGGTCGACATGGCACATAGGATGTTACTCTGCGTTAAAACACGGCTGACGTAGGTGGTTCTCGGGCAGCAGTCGGCCGCAGCCCCTGAACGAGACAACTGCGCCATCGCATTGAGTTCAAGGGTGGGGTCGGGCTCAGGAAAAACGGGGCCAGCTGACGGGTCGACCTGAACGAGGAGGGTGAATTGGGGTCTTCAGGCGGATGATTTGTGACAGCTCTTAGGGGAACCTCCGCTTCTCTTCCCTCACCCCAACCGGAGGGGTGCTCAGCACCTGCCGCCTCACTCAGGCCCCCCCCCGCCCCCCGTGCTTGTGCATTGGCTCCACGCTGCCCGTGGGGTTTCAGGTAATACTCAGGTGTGTTTGGGCAGCTGCGGGACTGAAGATTACGGATAGCCCAGAATTCAATTGTGCGACGTCAGTGTGAGCTCCATGCGTGCACATGTGTACAGGCACCCGTGTGTGTGTGCGTGTGCATGTGTGTGTGTGTGTGTGAGTAATTTTCTCAGCCCTGTGGGCTCTGTTATCGCGCGGCCGCGGTGCATTGTGTGAGTGGCCCGGTGACCAGTGCGAGTTCCTCACGTCTCTCGCCTTTTCCAGGGAGCGCATGGAGCTTCTGGAAGAAGCCAAGAAGATGGAGATGGCCAAGTTCCGGTACATCCTGCCCGTGTACGGCATTTGCCAGGATCCCATGGGCCTGGTCATGGAGTTCATGGAGACGGGCTCCCTGGAGAAGCTGCTGGCCTCCGAGCCGTTGCCGTGGGACCTGCGCTTCCGCATCATCCACGAGACCGCCGTGGGCATGAACTTCCTGCACTGCATGTCCCCGCCGCTGCTGCACCTGGACCTGAAGCCCGCAAACATCCTGCTGGACGCCCACTACCACGTCAAGGTGGGGGACTCCCGTCCGGGGCCTGGGCGGCAGGGCGGGGAGCGCTGGAAGAGGGCAGGGGGGCTGCGGGGTCAGGAGGAACCTTCGGGGCAGCGCGCGGGTGGGAAGGAGCTGGAAGCAGAGAACTCTCTTAGCTAAGAATGTCTGGGAGCTCCAGTGCTGGGTGCAAACACCAAAATGTGCGGCTGGAGAATGGACTCTGAATACGGGCCATGCCCCCCAATCCTGGACCACGGCCATGCATTCCAGGCACCTTGGAGAAAGGCTGTGGACCTGCGGATTCTGGTCTCAGTGGGTGTCTTAGGGAACCAGGTGGGAGATCAGGCCGAGTCCACGTGAAGCTGTGGCCTTGGGCTGCCCGCCCTCGGTGGTTGCAGAGGCTGGGGCGGAGGGGATGTGGGGTGCTCTGAGGTGGAGGCTGTGGAGGCGTGGTGAAGGGGCCCCTCCAATGGGCTCCTCCTGTTCCAGTATCGCGAGGCCTGCGGCGGCTGCCCTCTTTCATTCTGTGTCTGGTCAGCTTATACAACCAAGTGTGGTGCATTAGTAGAATTAGAAGCCAGGTGCCGGCCACCTGGGATCGGCAGTGAGGGATGCTGTCAGGCTGGCGTGTCTGTGAGCATGGTCTCCCTCGGCCAGCCTGCGTGGGCTGGGTGTTGTGTGGTCCACGCCGGGGAGGGGCACGCGCCACGGCTTTTTCCCACGTGGAAGGGCCCGAGGGCCCTGCTGGGTCACACTGGGGACCCGCAAAGGGACCTGCCTGGGAGGTCCGCCTCGTTGCCATTCTGGCCACACTTGCAGGACCCCTCCCTGTCGGCCCGAGAAGGAGGGACCTGAATTCAGTCTGGCCCCTCCCCCGGCTCTGCCTGGGTCTCTGTGCTCACCCAGGGCAGGACCGCGGTGCCGGCCAGCCCCACACAGGGGCCCTGAGTGCCCAGGCTTTGCCGCAGGCAGCGCAGTCCTGGCTGGGCCCGCCCGAGGCCAGAGGAGAAATTCTGTTTTCACTTGGGACAGTGATTACAAGTCGTCCCTCCCGTAGGTGTCGCTCAGGAACAAGGGTTTAGCTGAGGGTGGGCACAGTGTCCCGTCTGGTGTCCTCGTGGTCGGGAGGGCTGTCTGCCTGCCACCGACGAGAGTCCCTGTTAGCAGCGTGCGGTCCCTCGGGCACCCGGTGAAGGCCAGACCCTTCGCTCTGTGTGCCAGGGGCCCCGCTGCAGGAGCCACCCCGATCTTCAAAGTGGGGGACCAAGGGGATGGTGGCCTTCAGCTCCTGCTAAGCCACGGCTCAGAGGGGTAACATCATGGGCCAGTGTTGCCCAGCTTGGGGTGGGCATGGTACCAGGCAGGACTGGGTCCTCACAGAGCATCAGCCTTTTTTGCTCTCAGGTGTGGGGTGCAGGCGGGGGAGGCTTTAGGTGGAGGAAGCAGCTCGAAAACTTACAGGCGATGCTGGGATTTGGGGTGAGGGGTTCCGGAAGGCCTTTCCCCGCCCAGTGTCAGGGACTGCGGCTGTGATAGAAGGCTGCTGGGAGTGCGCACTGGCAGCAGGTACTCCGACAGGTGTATCTGCAGCCAGGTGCCGTTGAGGTGTCTGTCCAGAGTCACGGGCCCTCATTGGCCCAGCTGGGCTTTTAACAGACTGTAGAAATGATCCCTGAAAGTGTAGTCTTCGGCTGGGCTTTTGTATCCACCTCTCCTGACAGGTCGTGTGGAGCGTGGGGGGCCTGTGGGCCTCCCTTAGGGGCCCCAGTGACAGCGCCCCTCTCAGTGTCCTGCGTAGGAGCTCAGCCCTCCTCTCCCCCCAGCACCGCCACCTGGTGGGGGTGCGGGGACGGGGGTGGGGGGAACCTCTGTTGTTGTGAGCGGTCCGGGACAGTCGCGTGCCTAGCCCGTGGAGGTGCTGGGTGAGGGCTCGTGTCCTTGGTGTTGGTATCTATCTCTGTGGCTAGTGCACAGCCACCTTTGCCACGTCTGGGATGTGGCCATTCATCCGGGGACCGTCCCCAGTGCCGGGTCCACCTGCAAGTGGCAGGCACCCACTACGTGCTCGGTAAGGAGCAGGGCGCCACTGTCCGACTGTCCGACACCGTGACCTTGCTGTGCCCTTGTAGGTCACATCTGACTGGCTCTTAGGAGCCTCTGTGGGGACCTGCCTTCCCCTCTGACGACAAGCGCCTGGTGTCGCAGGCCCAGGGCTGTGTGTCAGGTTAGTAGACGGGCGACGGTTCCCTCAAGAGCCAAGCGGGGCCTCCCTGGGGGTCCTGAGCGGGGTGTGGGGTTCAGCCTGCGTGGGGCGGGCTCCGTGACAGGAAGGGAGGTGACACTGCTGCTCCCAGGCCCAGGGCACCCTGACGGGCCCGTGGGGCGGCTTTGCCGTGACTCCCTCTTAATCAGGCCAGTTAGTCACCTCGCACAGCCCCAAACAGACAAGGTGTGTTTGCACAACGCATCTTGCACTCTCCGAGATTGCTAGTGGGGTGTGGGAGGGCAGCTCGGCCTTGTTTGGGGCGTCAGGTCATTGATGGATTGGCCAACTGGGCACTTTCCAGTCTGTGGTTATTTGATGCAATAAAGCTTTGTTCTAGAACCTTGAAAGAAGTCAGCCGGCCCTGGGCCCTGAAGACTTTCTCTTGTCTGTGGACGACACGGCTTTCACGGGCGCAACCTGCTTTGCAAAGTGTATCGAAGACTATTAAGTTCATACTTGATGTTAATAGTAAATATACAAAACGTCAAGAGTAAATGCTGATTTTCATATATATCAGCAGGGGCCCCACTTCAAATGGAAGATGAAATGACTTTGGTTTTAGAATCTCAAACTCACCCCTGGCCCAGTTCGCCCAGAGGAGGCTGGATTCTGAGAGGTTCCGAGGGCCCCGGTCTCCTCGGTCCACAGTGCTTTCTCCCCCCAAGGCAGCACAGCCCTGCCCTGCCCTGCCCTGCCCTGCCCTGCCCTGCGTCAGTCTGGGGCTCCCGGCCGCGTGTTTGCCATTCACAGGGGTGGCCCAGGCCCCCCGGTTGAAGAAGGGGACAGGCTCCGCAGAAGGGGTGGGGGGGAAACACGAGTGGAGAAATCTACAGGTGGGAGGGGGTCAGCCTGCACAAATCAGAATTCTGATTTCTGGGTTTGCATTTTGATCTCAGAGCCTTTTACATAGAGTGTATGCTTGTTTCCTCCCACCGAGTACACCGGAAGCTGGTGGCTGTGTCTGAAACCAGCAGAAGTGAGGAGAAAAGGCTGCCAGCGTGGTGGGGGCGGCGGGTGCCAAGGCCCCCGCGTGGCTGTGAGCTGCTGTACGCGTCTGCCAGGGGGCGGGGCGATGGGTTCATTCTGGGGAACTGGCGCCTTCCTTTCCAGAGCCGGGAGGCTCCTGCAGGCCTGGGAACTCCAAGCCGGCTGCCCCCGCGGCCCCGGGCGCTCTCGCAGGCTTCCTTCCCATCACCTCCCTGCAGACGTGGTCAGAGAGCCCATGAAGGAGCGGGGCATCAGCCCTAACTCCTCCCTGCCTCCTGCGGCGGTGGTGGTGGCGGCGGTGCCAGGCCATTGGCTTGCCCGTGAGCTGGCACAGGAGCCCAGAACTGAGTCCTGACTCAGCCCATTTCCTGCTGCTCCGCAGGTGTGTTTGAGGGGGAGCCCAGAGTTGAGTAGGAGGCCGAAAGGAATCCGTGAGCCTCGGAGAGAACGTTGTTCAAGGGCCTGTTTTCCTGTGGGCTCTGAGCCCCTTCTTCATGCCAGTTCCCCGGGGCCTAGTCCGGCCCATGGTGCTGCAGTGGCTTCCGAGGGGTGGGGGGCTGGAGGGCCAGCCGGTGACCCCTGAGAGTCTGTGTGGCTCCACCTCCCCGGTGTGCGTGCCTGTGGAGGTGGAGGTGGAGGTGGAGGTGGAGGCGTGGGGGGACTAGGGGCCGGGGGCTCCCACAGGCTGGTGGACCCCAGAGGACAGAGGAGACACGTGCCAGCTCTTTATTTGGGGGGGCGCGTGTTTGGTGGGGGGGCCAGGAAGCGTCTGTGAGGAACAGAGCGTTCCGGGTGGAGGGCGCGGCTGCGCGGTGTGTTTTGCTCGCTTTAAAGGGCTTCTGAAGGCGCAGTTCCCTTTAAAGAACTTGCTGCCACCTGCCCAGCTGCTGGGGTTGCGTAACTGGATTTCCTTAGCACCAGGCCCGGCCGGCCTCGCTCACACGTGTGGTCTGAAAACCCAGGACCTCTGAGTGTTGCCTTTTCGCTGTGTGCCGACGCCGGCTGCCCACCGCCATGGCACACTGGATGCCTGGCGGACGAAGGTGATGACTCTTCCGGAGTTCTTGCTCCCCAGTGGATTCCTTGCTTCAAGGGTCATCTCCCCCACACCCATCAAGCTCTTCACGACTCCAGATGCGGTTCTCCCCGAGCGGCCGTGCTCACCCGTCTGCCCCCGGGAGCACGGTGCTGGCTCTCGGGGTGAGTCCTGCGTGTGGCCGTGCAGCCTGCTGAGCCGCCTCCACCCGCTCTGTTACAGATTTCTGACTTCGGGCTGGCCAAGTGCAACGGGCTGTCCCAGGACTTCGGCGTGGACGGCGTGTGCGGCACCGTCGCCTACCTGCCCCCAGAGCGCTTCGGAGAGGAGAGCCAGCTCTTCGACACCAAGCACGACGTGTACAGGTAGGTGTGTGCGGGGCTGTGGGGGGGCGCGGCCCCCAGCCCCCGTGTGTGGGGCCTGGCGGGAGCTGTGCTCCCCAGGTGTGCATGCTCTGACGGGCAGTGTCCCAGAGGCTCCTCGCTGGGGTCAGACGCGAGGTTTAGTCCAAATGAAGGGGTCGGGGGCTTCTAGCCGGCGGGTGCAGGAGCGAGGACAGCGGCAGGCTGTCGATAAATGAGCACCAGTGGGATCTGTGTCCTCGACTGGGGATTTTCCTCCTTTTTCACGGCATAGGCAAACTCATGACTTAAAGCCTGCGGCACACCCAAAACTCTATTTTTTGCTGATCTGACAAAAAAGAAAAATAGGTATGACTTTGATCCCTTCACCCTGTACAGCTTTTGTGGTGCTGGCGGGTGTCATTTTTTTATTTGACCGTCTGAGACAGAGGAGGGCCGTGCCCCTGACTAAACAGCCAGGCACCGCACGCTCGAAAACTGCCTGTGGCGCGCCAGCTGAGTGTCGCTGCCCCACAGGACAGTCCCCGAGTCCCTGCGGCTGCCTCTTCCCACTTCCGGAGGTCTCGTGACAAAGAACGCCTTGGAGAGGGAGAGGGAGGGGGGGAGGGAGGGTGCGAGCGTGCACCAAAGCCCCGAAGCCCTGCCGCTTTGCCCTTCGTCTTGGCCGCTGCCCGGAGTCTTGGCAGACTGGTGTGACCATGACCTTGACCGCTGGGCTGTGCCTGTGCGTGGCAGGGCTGCGAGCGGCAGGCCGCCGGCGACGGGCACTTGGGGTGCTAGTCACACACAGCTTGCAGAGTTTGGGGAGGGTCAGATTATTTATGTTAGAGCGGGGAGTTGGAATGTTTGAACTCAGAGATTTCAGTTACTATTCGACAGAGAATCCTCGGGTCTCTGTGAACAGCCACCGTGGTCTCAGAGCCAGGGAGGGGGTGGCTTACCCTTCGGGTTCCTGGTTTCTGGTCTTTTGTTTTTCTAAATTTATCAGATTGAGCTCTGTTTTGGGGTATTCGAAGTCCTTTTATATGTTACGTATACAGGGTGGGGCAAAAAGAGGTTTACAGTTGTTCGTGTGGAAAATAATACAGTCACGAATAAGTGATAACGCACGAATTAACTGTGCATTCACAACGGTAACCCGACTTTTGCCCCGGCCCGTCCGTCATTCCCAGCAGCCCCGGGGGGCCCGGGGCGGGGTTGCCAGCACCTTCCCCGAGCTCTGTCTGCCGAGCACTGTCTCCGGCCCGCCGGTGGACTCCCAGAGAGCAAGCGACCCGCCAGGCCCGGCGCTGCGGTCAGCACGAGACGCCCAGTGTTTGCAGGAGGGCGGTGGTGAATTCAGCCTATGGGTGAATGCAGCTGACGGTGGCACCCCTTGGGGGGGCTCTCTCCCGGAGCTGGCACGTCCAGCCCCACTGGCCGGGTTTTCCCCACTGGTGCACGTCCGAGCCATCCTCATGGTCCGCAGCCAGCCCGTTTGCCTGTTTAAAAGGGTTCATGAGAAACACCTCACTGTCCTCTGTCTCGGAGACTGCAGGCGCTTTGCATGAGAGCTGCGGCTCTGTGTGCGGGTCTGGCCCCCAGACACTGACCTGCCCGCTTCCCCCCACCAGCTTCGCCATTGTCATCTGGAGTGTGCTGACGCAGAAGAAGCCGTTTGAAGGTGAGTGCACTTACCTTGCCCCCATCTCCTCTGGAACCGCGGCAGGCCCGCTGCGTGGTTCTTTCTCTGCTTAGGTGGTGGCTGTGGTCCACACTCCCACCGTAGGGGCCGTCCTGAGGGAGGGGCTGCTCTGCCCTGCCCACCAGCCTGGCGTGGAGACCCGTGGCCACCTCCTTGCAGGTGGCCCTGTGTGCCGCACTCACTGGAAAAGGCATAGGTGTGCAGGGCTCTGGTCGGTGGTGTGTTAAGGGGCCAGCTAATTCTGACGTGTGTGTGTGATGTGAGGCACGAAGAAAATCGGTCATTGTAACCATTTCAAGTGTACAACTCATTGGCATTAAGTACATTCACAGCATTGCGCAGTCACCACCACGGTCTAGTTTCAGAACATTCTCATCCCCCAAAAGGAAACCCTGTGCCCATTAAGTGGTCACTTCCCATGCCCCAGCCCCCGCCCCCCAGCGACTTCAGCCTGCTTTCTGTCTCTGGATTTGCCTGTTGTGCTTATTTCCAGCTCATTCTTTCTCTAGTTTTCTAATTTTCAATGGCGATAAAATACACAGGACCCAAAATGTACAATCTTGACCATTTTTAAGCACACAGTGTGGTCATGTGCAGTACATTCGCAGTGCCGGCAACCAGTGCCAGAGCCGTCCAGTGGGTTTTGGCACAGACGGGTGACCCGGGTCACCGACACCCCCCCAGAGCTGTCTGTGGCCTTTCTCCCCCTTTCCAGCAACTGCTGTTCTGGTTCCCGTCCTCGGAGTGTTAGTGCCACGGCCGGCTTGGCGAAGTCAAGTACTTTTCGCCTCATTGGAGAGTTTCATTTCCTCTGTCGGCGTATCCGGACCACTTATAATATAGTGTCCTGACCAAAAACACCTAAAAACATAGGTCACCGTCAGTGTGTGGCCCCAGGTCACGGAACCTTTGCAGGAAGAGACACAGATGAGGCCGTTGTAGGGTCAAGTTCGTGTTGTCTTTCCGCCTGTCACCCGGTCTCCCTAACTCCTCCTCCCACTCCCCCTCCGTGGAGGTCCAGGGTCTGGATTATTTTAGCGTGGCAGCACGCCAGCCTGGCATGACGCTATCTGATGGACGCGGCACCCGAGGCCAGGTGCACGGTGTTAGCACCGAGAGCTGAGGCCCGCTGCTCTATCACTGCTGGGCAGACAGGGAGGCGGAGTTCAAGGTGCAGAGGCGGAAGGTGTCTCACGGACTCGCTCTGTCTGCGTCTGGCAGCAGAACATCCTCTGGGTGTTCGCTGTGCTTCCGCCGTATCCAGAAACCCTGCTGGGTGTTGGGAAGTCTGAGTTCTTCCCATGGAAATAACGCGTAGATACCTATGAGAGTTATTGCACAAGATTCGACGGGAAAGCGGAATGAGACATCAGAGTGGATCCTGGCAGCCGTCGGGGGCTTGGGGCCAATTTCCCACACCTGCCGCTCTGCCGGGACTCTCCAGGCTCGTGGGAGCTCCCGGCCGTGGGGGCGCTGGGAACTGCAGTGGGGGTGGGTCTCCTGGGGGCAGGGTGCTCGGAGCCCAGCTTGACGGACAGTGTGGCTTTAGGCTGAGTGGAGAAAAACGTCTGGCCCACGGAGGACCCCCTGGGGACCCTCAGTCTGTGACCGAGGTGATGATATGCTAATAATAAGCCCAGTCGAGTTTCTGAAGGAGGTTGGAAAGGACAGGTGGGGCCCCACGTTATGAATTTGGGAGACCCTGTCTGCACGCCCTGTCCTGAAACACTGCCGAGGCCAGCCTGTGGTCTGTACTTTGGGGTGGGAATCAGAATTCGGGGCGACCCTGTCAGCGCAGGGAGATGGGGATGCACGCGGGGGCCGGACCGTGTGACTCTGGCATGCATGCGTGGTGCCTCCCTTTGGCAGGCACGGCCACTCTGGAACATGTCTCGTCAGATATCTCCCTCCTTTGAACTCGGTTTTCCTTTGAGTTGGCTGCCCAGAAAGATTTGCTCTGTGATACGGCACAAGGTTTCCCTTTAGTGTCTCCAACCGGGAAGGTGGAAAACAGGTGTGCCCGGGAAGAGAAGGTGAATGAAATCTATGTGCTCTGAGAAGGAACCAGGTGGGGTCTCCCGGCCACAGTGTGACTGGAGGGCAGGGACTCGCATCCCTCGGAGCCCTCCCACAGCTGTGGTTCCTCCCAGAGCTAAGGGAGCCGGCCCCCAGCCCCCAGCCGCCCTGACCCCCCATGCCTCCCCTTCGCAGATGACAGGAACTTCCTGCACATCATGATGAAAGTGTCCAAGGGCCACCGCCCGGAGCTGCCACCCGTCTGCAGAGCCAGGCCGCACGGCTGCACCAAGCTCTTGCACCTCATGCAAAGATGCTGGCACGGGGACCCTCGCGAGCGGCCCACCTTCCAAGGTGAGCGCCCCTGCAGACGGCTCCCAGCGCAGTGCTCCCAGATGTTGCTGCTCGGTCGATCGGCTGGGGTCCCAGGACGGAGTCGATGGCCAGGACAGGGTCTGGGGTGGGGGCTGGCCCCAAGGGGGAGGGCTGTGCAGAGACAATGCACCCAGGCCAGCCCCGCAGGGACAGCTTGGCCTCGGCTTCTCGGCGCACAGGGCTGGGCAGGGCGACTGGAACTTGAGGTCCTTGCTAGCCGCCCCCACCCCTCGCTGCAGCCCGGGACTGGGCTTGCTGCCCGGAGGAGCCTGCCCTTGGCGTTTCCGGTTCACATGCAGCAATGCCTCTTTTAGGGACTGGCGTGACCGCTGGCCCGTGGCTTTCTTTTCCTTTTTCTTGGGGTCTTGTCCCCATGGAACAGATGTGTCACTTGGTTAAGACGTGACCTTGGTGGATTTGAAACTGATCACTGCATTTAAAACATAGGCGAACCCATGAGTGAGGGGGGGTGGGGGCGGGGGCGGGGGGCACATGCCAGGTGCTGGTGGGTCTCACACTCTCCCCCAGCTCTGGAAGGCCTCTTGGGGACCCTGGAGCCCTGGGACCCCTCGAGTCTGGTGAGACCTGCACAGGGTGGCCTACGGCAGGCTCGGCGTGGGCCGTGAGGTCAGCTGGGGGCCAGCAGCGAGGGGAGTCACCGTGCCGACTGAGTCCTCGAGCTGCAGATGCTTTGGGTGTCGCCTCAGGCACCCCCACTTGCGGGGGCATGTGTTTATGGAGAGCATACACCGAGGTCCTTGTCCAAGCAAGTAACGTGTCCTGTTTTCTTTTCTCCCCAAAAGAAATCACTTCCGAAACCGAGGACCTGTGTGATAAGCCCGATGAGGAGGTGAAGGAGGCCGCTGAGGATCCGGAGGTGAAAGCCCGTCCGGCGCCCAAGAGCGAGGTACAGGGACTGAGGAGAGGCAGACCTGGGGCTGCCTGGGGGCTGAGTTTTCCAAACCAAGGCCTCTCGTCTGCAGCCTGGCCTCACCTGCCAGCCTGGGCCCCTCGGCCCCTGGTTCCGAGGCGCTGCCTGACCTCTGAGCCCATTCCGCCTCAGGCGGTCGTGGCGGCCCTGTGCGCAGTGACAGGAGGGCAGGCCCCACGGCAGTCTCGGTGGCCCCAGATTTATCCCCTGCCCGACTGTGCCCTCTCCCCACCGCCTGTCTAGTGACACACGAATGGCCTGGGCCTGTGTGATATTAAAACACTAAAGCCACCAGGTGGGTGCTCTTGGAACCGGGGGACTGAAGGCCCCTGGCAGGCCTGGTTGGCAGGGACGGGGGAGACCTGGGCTCTGAGGGGCTTCGCAGCCCTGGCTCGGGGGTCTTCTCATACGTGGTCTGTTCAGTGAGCGTCCCATGGGCCATGTAAGATGTGATGAGGAGCTCCCAGGGCCGGGGCTGACGGCACACCTTTGCAAAGTACGGCCCGATGACTGACCTTAAACGTGTGGTCTGCTGTTGGGCAGCCCGCCCCGGGCTGTGGGTGTGAGGCTGGGAGACGAGCGAACATTTATGGTGCTGCCACTGTCTGAACAGCGTGTGCCTGGTCGGGGAGCAAAGGTGCTCTGGGGAGGCGGCCGGGTCCCCTGATAAGGAAGGTGTGGGCGCCGGGCAAATGGGTGTGGTTTGTACGCCACACACCGGGTCAGCTCGGATCAGCACCTCCCCAGGAGAGGGAGGATTTGGGGTCAAACGGGCATGAATCGGGCAGAGCCCCGTAATCGCCGGCTGGGTGTCTGCCTTCGCCGATGTCTGTTAGGGAAGCCCCTGAAGGCTGAGTCCCAGCGTGGTCCCCATCGCTGCGCCCCAACCAGCCCCACCCCGCCCCATGCACACTCAACACCAAGCCAGGCTCTCCCGGCTCCGAGGAGAGGGCACAGGTTGTAGGCAGTGTGTTTGGGGGGGGCAGGAGGAAAGGGGGTGCCCCGGCCCAGTCGCCCCTCTTTTCTTTGTTTTGTACCCCTGCTGACCCACATGGCGAACACTGCCCAGCACTCAGTCCCACGCGCCTGCAGTCTGGTGACGTTCAGCTATTTGTCCTTGTCATCTGCCACTGCATGTGGGGGCGCCCAGGGCAGCCCGGTGGTGGCCTTGGCATTTTTTTTTTTTTTTATCAAGTCAGGCTTCCCTTACAAGGCCTTCCCGCCCTGTGGGCCAGTGCGGTGACATTGGGCTCCACGGGGCCTCGCGCAGGGTAAGCAGGAGCTCTGTTTCCCGTGGGACGAACCGGGGACCATGTGTTCCCCTTCCCCCATCAGGCGGTGGAGGGAGCCTCACGCCCCTCCCTCCATGCGTCCCTGCAGGCACCCGTGTCCACGGCCCTCAAGCGCGCCTCGGCCCCAGCCTTCGACAAGGACTACAGCCTGTCCGAGCTGCTGTCACAACTGGACTCGGGCATCTCGCAGACGCTTGAGGGCCCCGACGAGCTCAGCCGCAGCTCCTCCGAGTCCAAGCTCCCGTCCGCGAACAGCGACAAGCGGCTGTCGGGGGTATCCTCCGTCGACTCCGCCTTCTCCTCCAGAGGGTCCCTGTCCCTGTCTTTCGAGCGGGAGCCTTCCACGGGCGGTGAGCTGAGGGCCCTGTGGGGGGGGGGCTGGGGAGTGACGGGCGTCATTATGGGGGCGGCAGCGGGCAGCATGCGGTGACCAGAAAGAAGGAGGTGCCCCCAGTTCCTGGCCCGACTCCTGGTTCTTTGTTTCCTCCCTCTCTTCAGTGATTGGTTTGGGCTGTCCGTTGCATGGTGGGCTCCCTGAGCCCAAACCCCGAGATGCGCCCACCCTGGCCAGGCTGGTGACAGTGAAGTGTTAACGGCCCGCACACCTGGCTGTGCAGGAGGGTCTTACCTGTGCCAAGGCCTGTGCGGGAGGGAGGGAGGGAGGGAGGAGCCCTCAACCTCCCTCAGAGCTGCCTGCTCCCGGCCCAACCTCCAAATGGGGCCCCACGCCCCTCGTCCCATTAGCAGTCACCGCCATCTCTGATGAGCTGCCCGTACAGGATGGCCAGCATGGCTTTTATTTTGCAAATTGACAAAAGGGCCCCTTGAGGTCATTCAGTGGCCTGCCCACCACATCTGGGATGAAACCAGCAGGGACAACAGGACACTTGCAGGGGAAAAGCAACCTGGAGGCCGTGGGGAGGTGCGGGCCCCATCTGGCCACCAGCCCCGCTTGCGGGGGGAGCCTGAGGGCAGCAGCCGCGTCTGACCCTGCCCGGCATCTGCTCTCCCCGCAGACCTGGGCACCACCGACGTCCAGAGGAAGAAGCTTGTGGACGCCGTTGTGAGTGGGGACACCAACCGGCTGATGAAGATCCTGCAGCCCCAGGACGTCGACCTGGTGCTGGAGGGTGGCGCCAGCCTGCTGCACCTGGCCGTGGAGGCCGGGCAGGAGGAGTGCGTCAAGTGGCTGCTCCTCAACAACGCCAACCCCAACCTGACCAACGGGAGGGGCTCCACCCCCCTGCACCTGGCCGTGGAGAAGAGGGTGCGGGGCGTGGTGGAGCTCCTGCTGGCCCGCAAGATCAGCGTCAACGCCACGGACGAGGACCAGTGGACGGCCCTCCACTTCGCCGCCCAGAACGGCGACGAGGGCAGCACGCGGCTGCTGCTGGAGAGGAACGCCTCCATCAACCAGGCGGACTTCGAGGGCCGCACGCCCATGCATGTGGCCTGCCAGCACGGGCAGGAGAGCGTGGTGCGCATCCTGCTGCGCCGCGGCGTCGACGTGGGCCTGCAGGGCAAGGACGCCTGGCTGCCGCTGCACTACGCCGCCTGGCAGGGCCACCTGCCCATCGTCAAGCTGCTGGGCAAGCAGCCGGGGGTGAGCGTGAACGCCCAGACGCTGGACGGGAGGACGCCCCTGCACCTGGCCGCCCAGCGGGGGCACTACCGCGTGGCCCGCATCCTCATCGACCTGCACTCCGACGTCAACGTCCGCAGCCTGCTCGCGCAGACGCCCCTGCACGTGGCCGCCGAGACGGGGCACACGAGCACCGCCAGGCTGCTCCTGCATCGCGGTGCCGACAGGGAGGTGGTGACCTCGGAGGGCTTCACTGCCTTGCACCTGGCCGCCCGGAATGGGCACCTGGCGACCGTCAAGCTGCTGGTGGAAGAGAAGGCCGACGTGCTGGCCCTGGGGCCCCGGAACCAGACGGCGCTGCACCTGGCCGCAGCCGGCGGACACACGGAGGTGGTGGAGGAGTTGGTCAGCGCCGATGTGCTCAACCTGTCCGATGAGCAGGGGCTCAGCGCCCTGCACTTGGCCGCCCGGGGCAGACACGCCAAGACGGTGGAGACGCTGCTCAAGCACGGGGCGCACGTCAACCTGCAGAGCCTCAAGTTCCAGGGCAGCCAGGGCCCCGCCGCCACGCTGCTCCGGCGAAACAAGACCTAGCTTGCCGCCCTCGGAGACTGGGGCCCCTGCGGGGGCTCTGGTCCCGTCGTCATGGTCCATGGTGGGGATAGAAAGATGCTGTGTGTTGGCCAGCAACCCTCACCTTGTTGTTGATGGCCTGGCGGCACGTTGACCGAACAGGCCATCAAGAGGCTGCTGACTCGGGGTGCCCGCCAGGAGTCCATCCATGCGGGTCACCCTCCAAATGAAGGTGGTTAAACGGTGCTGATCCATCCACCCATCTGTGTGTGCCCGGCGTCCGAGGCACGGTGGGTGGAAATCATTTCGTTGCGCTCCTGCTTCTGAGGCGGGTCCCTCGGTGACAGTCATGGGTGCTGTCGAGCCCGCTGCATCTCGAGTGGAGCCTCCAGGGCGCCCCAGCCTGAGGGTGCAGGGGCAGGGAGAGCTGTGTCTTCGATCTTCATTTGCAGCGGCAGAGCCGACGAAGCAGATCGACTCAGAGTGTGTTAGTGGAATTCTTGCGTGATGGAACGCCCTCGCTAGGTGAACACAGCATCAGCTGTTCCTTGAAAGCTCTTCAAAATGTTCGTAGCATCTGATAGTCTGGCCTGTGCCTACTGCGTAAACGCTGGTACTGTTTGTCAAAGCCGGTAGGTAAGGTGCCGTCTCTGACACTGAGCTTGCGCCTCCGTTGCTCCTTGGGACAGCATGACTTCCACAGGCCTGTGGCTGTCATTCACGTCCTACTGCGCAGAATGCATTTTGAACCCTAGAGCCAAATAGGCAAGAGGCATTTAAAAATTCACCTGTCACCTCAGTGTTGTATGCAAAACAGTATTACCTAGTTAGGTGAACCTTCTCACTTGTCTTCTTTCCAGCTGCCATTCTGGGGGACGGGGGGGCTCAGACGGGCTCGCTGACCTGCCTGCAAACCTCTGAGTCGGGGAACCCCCAAGGCGGCCCCAGGAGACCAGCCGACACTCTGGGCTCTAAAAGACGCGGTGACCCAGCCCTGTTCACCCCTGTCGTATGTGCTGTCCTATGGCGCACCCCCTGACTTTGTAATGAGAGTGCATTCGCTGCGGGAGACGGTCCTGTTTGCGAACGTGACTTGTGCTGTATGATACAGAGATTGATATTAATATACCATGTATATTAATGTGAGTCTGTGGGCTGGGTATTTCTTTTCTATGACAGGAAATATCCAGACTGCTCAGAACTGGCTATGTTTTAATACGCCTCTCGCTCTCACGATGATGTGCCCTGTTGTTTTAAAAAGACCGCTTGTAACATGAAAAGCTTGGATGTAAATAAATAAAGCCAGGGTGTTGTCTACCGTTTTCGGAGTCAGCGAGACTGCTTTTTCTTATGAATGAACCTGAGCAGCGGGGTGTCTGGAAACCAGAGGTTCGGGCGGTTGCGTGTTGTTGGAGATGCCCTTACATGCAGAAGGGTAGTCCGTGGGCACCGAGTTGGCCACGTGACGTGGGGGGACGAGGGGAGGGGGAGGAGGGACCCGATCTTCCTGCCTGCTTCCCTGGACCCCACCATCTGTGTGCGAACCAGCGGGGAGCTGGGTTAGCCTTGACAGAGGAAGCTCCCAGCACCACAGTTTCTCTCTCTTTCTAAGAGTTTATAATTCTTCACTTTCACTTGTTAACTTTACAATTTGAAAAAATTTCAAATTATAGAAAAGTGCCTAAATAGTACAAAGAAGTCAGGTGTACCCTTCAGCCAGATTCCCCAGTTCTTGACATTTTCAGCTCATTTGCCTGCTTGTCCTGCTTTCTTCCCCATGTACCCTTTGCCCATTCACCCATGTGCCTGTCCCTCCAGCTGTCCATCTGTCCACCCACCCACCTATCTGTCCATCCATCCACCTGTTTAAGTAGGTCGCAGACAATGTTTCCCCTGACCCCAAATATGCGTATTTTCTAAAAACAAGGACTTTTTCCTGTACGGTCACTGGACCTGAACCCCCATTGTCTCCGAGGTCTGCCCGTATTGACATCAGCCCGGGTTCAACTCCATTGTTATTGTTATCCGGATGTTCAAGGTGACCCCAGTGTGGCCAGGTTGCCTTCATGCTGGCTCTGGTGGGCCCTGGCCGCATCCGCGCCACCCTTGCGCATTTCGTGCTTTCTTTTTTTTTTTTTTAAAGATTTTATTTATTTATTTATTTATTTATTTATTTATAGAGAGGGAAGGGAGGGAGAAAGAGAGAGAGAGAAACATCGATGTGCGGTTGCTGGGGGCCATAGCCTGCAATCCAGGCATGTGCCCTGACTGGGAGTCGAACCTGCGACACTTTGGTTCACAGCCCGTGCTCAATCCACTGAGCTACGCCAGCCAGGGCCATTTCGTGCTTTCTGACACAACGAGAACTCCAGGCTCATCTTGCTCTTGCCCGACCCCAGCCTCAGAAGCAGCCATTTCTCCAAGGTAGCAGGTTTCTTTTCATGGAGAATGGTACTTAGAAACCAAGGTCTGGGTGTTAGATGTGTTAGACGGTTCCTGGGGTGCCACAGCTCTCAGCAGACAGACCTGGGAAGTGTGTGTAACTCGCATGTGTGTAAACATACACATCTCTTATTTTTTTATTAAAGACCACATCAATGTCTTCAGTTACAGTCTAACTCCCCCGGGGTATTCTAGTTACTCCATATTATATCTGCTTCTTCTGACGGAGGGTCGATCCTCTGCACCCTCAACATGTGTGCGTAATTGGTCCACCTCTTGTGTGCAAGGAACCTCCCTGCCACCACGCTGGTGGCCTCAGCCTGTGTCCACGCATGTGGGCGGAGCCAGCCTTGTGCCCAGCAGTGTGCCAGTGAAAGTTGCTGCCTATGAGGTGACGGGGTTGTTTTCTGAAAAGCCTTTTGTGCCAGGAATCAAGAACTTTCCCACCCAAACTCTGCCATGTGGCTTTTCTTTCCCTTTTTTCCACCAGGTACTTCCACATTTTCCTTTATCCCTCAAGATAGTAATAGTTTAATGAGGTTACATTTTTCCCCAGAAAACATGGGCATTATTTTCCCCTTCCCTCTGAGCCCTGTCCCATGTGTTTTCATTCAGGAGCATGCTCTGGTGTGAAGACTGCATGAACTTTTCTCCTAGACCTACTTTAGGTCAAAACCACCCCTTTGTACCTGGGAGGACATCAAAGGGAGTCTTAAACGTTATGTGTGGTGCTGTGCTGTGGCTCTGAGGCTGGGTCCTCTGGACACCCTCGGCTGGTCCCTCCTGGGCCGTGTCAGAGAGATGCCAGCCTGCCTGCAGCAGTGCTGAGATCTGGAGACGGCAGGTCCCAGGAGAAGTGGGTGCCCTGGCTGAGCCCGCCAGGCACAGAGCAGCACCCATGGGTGATCATGCTCCCTGCGGTCCGGAAGCTAGGGAATGATGCCAGAACCAGGAGACGCAGCCCCAGACAGGCCCTGGTTACAGACCAGGGTGTCCGGTTGGAGACACCAGCCAAGGACTCGGCCTCCCTCAGCCTCGGCTTCAGTGCTGTCACCGTCCACGTCCCGCCAGCTGGGCACAAAGAGCCCAAGTTTGCTTGATGCTTAGACCCATCTTGCCTCCAGCCAACCGAGAGGTGCGGCCCTGGGGCTCCAGTGCCTTGTGGCTATTGCCGGTGTCCTCACAGACACACACCTGAAGCCACCCTCTCCACGAGCAGAGAGAGCATGGACACCTGGCCCGGGAATGGCGTGTCCCTTTGGGTGCCATGGTCCCATGACTCTGTGTCCTGCAAATCTTAGGAAGTTGGGTGCAGAGTCCTGAAGTCCCAGCTGGGCCAGGGCAGCTGCCATTCAGCCTCCCGGTGCCCTTGCTTTGAAGACTGGCTGTGCGGGCACCTGCGTGTCCCAGGGCTTCCTGAGCGAGCCCCTGGTGGACCCCTTGGCCACCGCACTCGCCAGCGCTGAGCAGCTAGGCGTCACCATCTTCCGGGTCACTGGACCTGACTCCAGCTCTCGGGGCCTTTGTTTGCCACAGGCCTTTCTCTGAGCCGAGCATTAGCTGCTGATTTCAAAAGCACGGGCGTGGTGGGCGGGGTCACCAAGGCTGCCCATAGGCACTGCGGCGGAAAGGAAGCAAGCCTTGCCCAAGTTGCCACTCAGAGGGGAGGCAGTCCTCGCCTCCTCACGGCTTACGTTTGGATGGCCAGGTTCTGGAGAACTTGGACTCTCAATCCTGGACTTTTTCCCTCCACTTACTCTTCTCCCTCCATTCCCTCCCTCTAACCGCCTTCCTGCCACCCTCCTCCTCCCTCTCTTCCTCTGTCCCTCCCCTGCCTTGGTGATTAGTTGCCATGTGAAGTCAGGGGTTCGGAACTCCACACAAGGGCCTGCACCAATAGTCACAGGTCCACCAACACTGTGATCTGGGGGGGTGAGGGGGAACAGTGGCACTGATGGTGACAGAGTAAGGAGGGACAAGGTACACTGGCTGAGCGGTCTGTTCCACACAATGATAATAGTCATTGCTTTAGGCCTTGGCAAAGAAGAAGGTACAGTGTCAGGAATGGCTGGATCTAGGTGTTTCACACAATGCTACCTTTTGTCAATGTTGGTTTCACTACTGGGTGGGCCCCTTTGCTAGGGAAACAGCCCTGACCCCTCCAAGCGTAAGTCACCTCAGCTCAAGGATCCCAGTAGAAAGAGGGTTTTTTTCACCTTCTGAAACCCCAAGTGAAACATAATTCATAGATTCTTAGACACTTTTTTTGAGCCCTGAGAATTATGGCATCTTACAATTGAAATGGCCATTGTATTTTGCTTTTAGAGGTACTTTCGATAACGATACATTTTATAACACACGGCATTTCAGGACTGATGCAATGTGGCTTTAGGAGAGGGTTCTGCCCTCTCCTAAAATCGTTTGTGGGAAGAGAATGTTCTGGTCGACCAACCTGGGTCGAGCCTGTTGATTTCCCCTGACCGTGGGGGGTGGTAGTTTCCTAAAGGAAAATCAGGGTGCTCTTACTGGAAAAGGGGGAAGGGGGCTGGTAGTTACGCCACACGGGGCCCCTTCGGAGAGGCCACAGAAGAGCCGGAACAACCTACAGACGACAGGTGTTGTGTGTGGCATGTGCGTCTGCGTTCTCTCAGGGACACGGACAGAGGGCTCCCTGACCCACAGCGCCCCTCTTGGAACCCTGGGAGAAAGGCGGTGGGTGTTCTGGGAGGATCCCCCATCAGCCCAGCAGTGGAGATGTTGCCCGGTGGCTTTGAAGACACAGTGCGTGGGTCAGGGAGAGAACCTGCCCCCCGGCCCCGCCCCGCAGATGTATCGGAGCTGGGAGGAGGAGAACCCTGTTCTGGAGCTCAGCGAAGCCCCCAGACCAACCTCGGAGTGAGGGAGAAGGTCGTCTCCAGTCACTGAGCTCCGCCTGAGAGAGGAGGCACTGTGCTGGGGTGCTTGCACAAAGCTGGGGTCCCCACCAAGGAGAGTGGCACCCACGTGTTCCTAAGCCACCTAAGAAGACACCGAAGAAAGCACCCACATAAGTGAAGGGGGTGAAGCCCCCAAGTAACGGAGAAAAGCTCGTTCGGAGGCAGCCCCCTTGCTGGGGGGACCTTCTGCAGCTGCCCGGTGACTGCCGGCGAGAGGGTCAGCAGGGAGTGAGCGGTCTGCCTGGCCAGTGGCCAGCGCTGACGTCTGTATCGTGCATGCACGGGAGGAAGCCAGCTCAGATCCGAGAGGACATGTTCAGACGCCGGATGAGGGTGAGGAAGCGCGGCGGCAGGTAAGCAGCCTGCGGGACAGGAGACGCCCCTCCCCCTCTCACCTGCAGGACTGTGTGTGTGCGGTTGGGGAACGGACACACAGAGCACGCGTGGCTCTTCGGTGGGACTCCCCAGGGTGGGAGTGGTGCCGCCCAGAGGGTGTGGCCCCAGGGTGCCAGGGGGACCCCCGTGCTTGGTACGGCGACATCTGGACTGGATGCTGACGCTTGGAACGGGGCCCGGAGGTTTCAACAAGCCTCGGTCCCTCTGTGGCAACCAGAAGGAATTCGGTCTCCCCGAGGGTGTCTTCCTTCTTGTGCCACCGTCTGCACCCGGCTGTGCCACTGGAAAAACGAGACCCAGGCGAGGCGGCACCCAGCGGAACTGCGGGGAGGCCATGGGGAGGCGGCCCTGGCTGCGGGAGAAAGCTGACGCCGGGGTGGCAGCCGCCTCCCCCGCGGCCGTGGTGGCCGTGGGACCTCCTTTGTCTCCCTGTCCTGCCTGGGTGGCTGTGAGGAGGCAGGCCGGCCACAGAGAGAGCCTGCTGAGGAATGGAGGCCAGCAGGCCGCCCCGGAGGAGAGTTCTCCCTCACCTCCCGGCCTCTCCTGGG